TTTAATTTTCAATTTCTGTCATTATAAAATTTTTATGTCTATTTTAGTCGATTGTTAAATTGACATTTATTAGCAATTTTTTGCACAAGAAAAAGAAGAATTTTTGTCTTCGTTCAATATCAAATGCACATCTTAACCTTAATGATTAATTACTATTAAAATGCACGACAATTAAAAGGGAGAAACTATTTTGTTAGAGCTTTATTAAATTACAAACGTGAACAAAAATTTAATTTTTAAAAATTTGAAAAATATTCAACAAAATGTAACGAACATTTTTGTTCAATATTTTTATGTTATATATAAACAAACACGTATAGAAACACACAAATTTTTTATCAACATAATAAATATTGATTTTAAATCCTTTCATTATTAATGTTTTTGTTGCTTTCGACAACATTATCATTATTGAATCATTTTGAATAAATTTTCACCATTAACCACATGACGATTTGCATATATGTATAAAATCTACGATTTTTCCTCGTGTACCTAATACTCGTATATCTTTAAAATCCTTGGTGAAATATCAAAAAATTCAATCATTTATTTTTTTTTGTTTACTGGCTTAAATTTTCAATTCAACCTTGATGAAAGTGCAGCCACAATTTTCTATAAGTCAATCTAAAAATGAAAAGAATACAAGAATTTTTTATCTTAATTTATTTTCATTTTATCATTGAATAAAACTTTTAAAAATATAATGCTCTAAAAGGTTAGGGATGGACTTTAGATGAGGATTTCAAATTGTTGAAACAGCGTAGTAAGTATGCAAAAATTTAAGAGTATAAAAAATTTGATAGAAAATTAAACGATAAATTTAGAAAAGTTTCATATAATGAATAAAATTTTTATATTTTCTTAATATTGAATTTTCAAATACTATCATAAATTTTATTCGAAAATTAAATAATACCGATACAAACACATATTCCTCATTATACAATCAAACAATATTTGAAAAGCTTCAAAATTTTAAACAAAGACCTGTCCGTGTGTCTGTTTATAAAACTTCTGGAGACAGAAATCTGAAACCTTGGAGATAGAAAGCTGAAATTTCACGTGTTTATAGATCTGTATTACTAGAAACTAATATTCTTAGGAAAAAATTTTTACCTATCTGGCCCCCTCCAAAAGTTATACCCCCCAAAACCCTAAAAATAGCATTTTCCCACTATTTATTGTAGTAGAACCATATGCATTTTTCAAATTTTGCAAACGCAGAAATATAGTGGCTGGCTTCTTCTACCGCGGCGTACTATATTTGAACTTTAGAAGAACAATATGGCGATTAAAATTTACCGTTATTTAACACATTGCTGACCAATCGGAGAAGTCTTCCCGTTTTGAAAAATGTCAGTGCACGACCGATCAGGGAGATCTCCAGGTTATAAAAAATGTCAGTGTATAATCGATCGGGGAAATTTCCCCGTTATATTTGAGAACTTCACTAGTTAACGCATGTCAAAAATTTGCGGTGCATAGCTTATATTCAGTTGAAATTCGTGCGGCTGGCAATGTGTTAAAATCTGTTTTTTAAAAATTTTTGATGTCATTTTTCTTCTAAACCCTAGGTTGTGAAACTCTAAAATTTTAACAGCTTTTAGAGACTGATAATACTTCAATTCATTAGAAGGAAAAACCACACTTTTTTCTACCCCCACACCCTCTCAAGTTATCGGCTCTTGAAATTTGTAAAATTTTAATTTGTTTCGCCTTATATTTGCGAAACCGTGTCAATCATTCTTAAAATGTATTAAAATAAAAATAAAAATAATGTTGAAGAATAGTAAATTACTTAAATAAAGAATTTTTCAGCATATATTTTAAATTAATTTTCAATTTTTATAAAGCATGCGCTCAAAAAAATTTAATTTCAATATTGTATTTACTTTTCAAAAGCGCTTTTTAATACTTATTAACTTATTTTTTTTTCTTTATTTATATATTCATATCTTGTTATTTTATTACAATATAATTTTTACAGTAATTCAGTTTTTGTACATTAGTAGATACACATACATCCGTATCAATTTACAAACATCATATATTACACGTACCACATATATGCATGATTCAATTGAAGTGACTTATAGCTCGAAAAATAGAACAAGTTAAACCATTATGAAAATTTTTTTTATTACCTAAACTTTCACTATATGGTCTTCTTTTGGGGAATTTAAAAACAACTTCGGAAAATTTTGTAAATTTTCCAACAAATTTTAGTTGACAAGAACCATGTTAATTCTTTAATTTTAAAGTTTTTTTTTTCCTCTTCACTCCTGGAAAAAACATAGGGCAAGTGCATGAAATCATGCCCCTGTTTCATAGCGTCATAGAGTGAACTAGGTAGGTTACCAGCCTACCGTAATTTTATAGTTAAAAAGGAAAAAAAAATTAAATTTTAAAAAGTTTCACATTTTAAGAAAAAAAATTTAAAATTAAAAAATCTGATGTTGTCAGCACATAACCTACCGCAATGTATATTGTCTAGTTAAGTGAAAGTGTTACAGAATATTATAAGAATGTCTGTTAAATACTTCTTTCCAATTTTTAGGACATTAGTCAGCTTATAGTTAACATACCTAGAAAAATGTAAATTTGACTCTTAGTAAAGTTTCGCTTTGTGCTACCCGATTTTCCAGAAATTCTCGCCAGTTAGTTTCGGAAACAACCAGAGCTCGAATATCAAATTCCAAAAAATTCCATCAATTCGTTCCGTAGATATGGTGAAAAATGTAAAATCGGCCCGCAGATCACTTTTCAAGCCCTGATCTTTCCAAAAAACTTATTTGTTCATTGTTTTAATACAAAGAATTTAAATATCAAATTTCAATGAAATTGGTTGATTATTTCTCTTTATGTACGCAAAAATGTATATTTGGCCCGTAGTAAACGTCCAATTGCTGATGTCTGATTTCTTCCAAAAGTTAAGAGGTTTTGCGGACGGTTAAACGAAGCTTATATATGAAATTTCAAGTAAAACGTTTGAATATTTGCTTCAAAATGGTCAAAAATGTAAAAATTTATCAATCCATGCCATGGTCGAAATAAACTTACATATAAAATTTCATCAAAATAGGTCCAGCCGAACTTGAGATGCACGCGTGCACACACAGACCAACTAAGCGACAGGTTGCTAAAAATAGTTTATTTCCACTTCCCTATCATGGAGAAGTGCATTCCCACCGAAAACTCGATATGCAAAATTTGTTGCCGTCACACAACCTACTTATTGTATACACAATACGGTCGGTAAAAAGAAAGTTTCAAAAATGGTTTTATAAATTTAATAGAAATAGAAAGAAGAATACAAGTTTTAAAAATTTCAGTATTTAATCACGATTATTACTTAAACTTTCTAAAATTCTTTTTTTAAATAAACATATGTTCTAAATATTCTTAATTTTGGCCGGCAAATCGTTAAAATCTTAAGAAAATTCTTAAGCATTTTCAGTTTTAAAAAGCGAAAGGAAAAAATTTGGCTTATTTCGCGTGTTATGACCGTGAATTTCCATATTTCCGTTTAGAATTAAATTATGCTTAATTTTACTATTGATTATTTTAAGAACCATCATTGTATAGCTCCCACTTACAAATATTGCTAAAACTTATATACTTAAAAGTGTATAATAAAAGATAAGGATAACGCAAAGGACGCGGTATCATCCAATTAAACCCAATCTTCTAATTAAAACACAGGATGATTTCACCTACTTAGCCGTTGATTTTGTTAAATGTTAATGGTTTATTCAATATTAATTCTTCTCCTAAATATATTGTATAATATAATTTTGAATTAAAGAGGGTAATTTAATTTCAATCGTTTAAGAGAAATGTACTCTACAAATTATATGTTTGATTCCAATTTATATAATGTACAAATATGTAATAGACTTCCAAAAACTTGAATTTTACATCTTGGGCCGATCAAAGCAAAAAGATAGTTGATTAGCTCCATTTGTATGAATAGACAATTACTACTTGTACTTTATAGTTTAAAATTTTTCACTTAGTAAAAGAAACAAAGTTGGGTCAAACCAATGGTTTGTATTGTAGCACTTTTCCCTTCAACAAGTGAAAATTCTGCTTTTAAAATACAGTCTATGTATACCTATCACACTATAAAAATTATTTTCATTCATATACGAAACTATTTCTAGGATTGCATATATTTAGAAAGAACGATTTATGCAGTCTTTGAAATAAAGCAAAAATTAATAAAAAGTGGGTTTAACATAATGCTCGATTTTAAAGGTTAATTGTGTGAGTTAAGAAAAATAATTATATTTTTTAATGCCATGGAATTTACCGTTAGCTTTTTGCGTTTATAGAAATTTAAAAAAGCTTCCGGTTTCGGAAATATAAGGCGTCAAAAATTCAAATTTTACAAATTTCAAGCGCGATGACTTGAGAGGGGGTGGAGATGGAAAAAAATTTTCTTCTAAAGAAATGAAGCATTTATTAGTGTCTAAAAGCCCTTAAAATTTCAGGCTTCTAGAGGCTGGGGTCTAGAAAATAAACGACATCAAAAATTTGGAAAAAACTGACTTTAGATAACGGTGAATTTGAGCGGCCATTTTGTTTTTCTAAAGTTAACCTTTAGTATATTCCGCTAGGGGAAGCAAGCCACTGCCTTTCTAAGTTTGCAAAATTTGAAGAATGCTTATGGTTTCATTGCACTAAATAGTTAAAAAATGGCATTTTTAGGGTTTCGGGGGTGTATAACTTCTAAAGGGGGGGAGATAGATAAAAATTTTGTTCTACGAAAATAAGTTTCTAGTAAAGACTATGTACACTCAAAATTTCAGCTTTCTATCCTCAAGGGTGTAGAAGTTTTGTAAACAGACACACGGACGGACAGACGGACGGACGGACAGAGTGAAACTAATAAGCACTTTTCTTCGAAAAAATTTTGGAAAAGTGCTAAAAATGAAAGCTTATAACATATTTCTGAATGTGAGATTAAAAATAGCAACATTCTGTTCTACCTTGAACGTACGTATGCATATTCATATAGTAGAGGCTAGTTAAGCTATTATCAACAAGAACTTAAGTAATTAATTTGAAGAAATTCCGTCAATTAATTGCTGCTATATAACAAAGTCTGTAAAAATATGAAACGATTTCGTTCAAAGCAATATGAAGTTTCAAACAAATTGGTTGATTATTTCTCTGTTTCTCTGTTGATTATTGATCACCATTGGTGCAGTGGTTATGGCACCGGTCCTTTAACCGAAGGGTCTCGGGTTCAAACCCCGGTCAGGTCACTATAAAAAAAAAAAATTATATTCAATATTATTATAACTTAATATACAATACTAATAAAAATATTATACAAGTAATTTTCAAATATTCCTAATATTCGATATTAAAAAAAAAAAAAACTAAGAAAAATAAATAGTAAATATTAATAACCTCAAATAATTAATATATAAATAAAAACTGCGGCAGGCTAGTCACCTACCCTATGACGCTATGAAACTAGTGCATGAGAAATCATGCACTAGCCCTATGCTCCTTCTAGGAGTAAACAAAGGAAAAAAAAAAAAAAAAAAAAAATTTCTCTGTATGTGAAGAAAAATGTAAGTTCTGACCGCTGTGAATGAAAAGGTTATTTGGTGATACCTGATTTCCCCAAAATGTTAGGTGCCATGTTTCATTATTAGGCGGTGTTTGTAAAAATTTACGCGAGACGAATTTTGCCCTTTCTTGTTGTTTTCGATAAACAAAATAAAACATTTCAATAAATTGGATAAAATACGAGTACTTCTGGAAAATACATCCATTAAAAAAAATCTACTTACTCAACAGCAAGTAAATTCATCAAATCAAAGTGATACTAAGTTCAAGAACGAAAGAATCAGCAAAATATGTTTAATTATGGATGAGCTGCTTTTACTTTAACAATAATATTACTAATTTGATAATTATTATTATTGCTATTTGATAATTAGTAATATTACAGTTAAACTAAAAGCAAATGTTTCAAAAACATTAGGGCGTTCAAAACAAAATTAAGACGAAATCGGAAAAGAAATTTAGAATGGGAAATTATTTCTTTAAACTGAGCAAATTTGGTTTTTTTTTATATATATTTTGAAATATGAATACTAAATTCTAAAACTTAAAAAATTAAAGACTTCAAATGCAGAATTGTTATATGAATTTTACTAATACAACATCATAGTTGAGAAATTAACAAGAATGTGCTTATTACACTACTAATTTATCTTAATGGAAATTTCTTCATGCAACTGCAGAACAGATGGATGACGTAATCAAAGGAACGAGTTAAAGGCAGAAAAATTCATTAAAAAAATTTTTCTCCTCGACTTGGAGGAGAAAAAAACTATCTTTCTGCGTTTGCAGAATTCAAAAATTTTTTCTGATTTTTCTACGACAATTGCTTAAAAATGACATTTTTAGGGTTTTGGGAAGAAAATTGATATATCTTTAGAGGCGAAAGATATATCAATTTTCTTCCACGGAAATAAGTTTCTAGTAAAGATCTATTTCACGGACACAGTGAAACAAAGGTCCACTGGCGGACACAGTGAAACAAATAAGTTTTACTTGGAATCATTTTTTTAAAGGACTATAAAAGGGTACTAAGTATTTTACAATGTAATCGTCTGTAAAAGTTAAAAACTATTTTTTTACATATTCAAATCTAACACAAAATGATATTTGAATTGTACACGCATTTACTCTTTGAAACACAGAGTTAAAAAGTCGAAAAAGTCTCTTAGCATGACGATATTGTCTTACTTTATTCTAGATTGATTTTAGGAATCGTTGGTTCGAGTTGAGTTTGATAAGAAAAATTTGAAATATAAGATATAACAAGCGCAAGAAGTAAAATAAAGGAAATATAATATGTTTAAAAGGAGATTTTGCTTTATTACTTGAATTAAAAGAATGTTGAGCTCGTTAATAACATTGCGTTCACTATTTAAGGGATTTATTTTAATAGTTCCTGCTTTTTCGTTCTTCAAAAGCTATAAAAAACATTAGAAAATAGATGTTGTACAATACAAAAGACGAAGTTTTCCTTATTATAAAATTATTATTGATTAGTTTTAAATGGATGTTGACTGTAAATTGCACATTATACTAAATGTATAAAATGTTATAATAAATGCATAATTGTTGATTTTGGAGTTATCGTGCGATCGGGCGGATGGGCAGATGGACGGACAGACCGACATGTTTAAATCAACGCAGAATTTTACACTCATCAAGAATATATGTATATATATGTCTATACCGCAGATAACTCCTTCAATAGTTACAAACTCCATACGAAAGTTAACACACCCTTCGTGAAGTGCAGAGTATAAAAATATAGAAAAATTACGTTATGTACTTTATTTTAGTAATCAAAGTACATAGGTTGATATTAATAAAATTTTCAGAGTCTCGTTATAAATTTAAAAGCTCTAAATATTTACATTACTGAATAGGAAATTTTATTTTTAAATATAAACGAGAAAAAATAGAGTTGACCGTGTGATCTCCGTACGAATTTGTTATCCTATATGTGCGAATAAATATGCCATATTTGACTATGGGACTGACTATGACTTTAATTTGCAATGTTACCACATTAATTCATATAAATTTTCAGTACTGTGTTTTTCAAAATTTCAATATACGAGAATCGAGTCAAGAAATTTTAATGATTCTTATCATACATATAACAGCCCTAATAATACACTTGTTTTGACGAGATTTCTATTTTATAATTTCAATAAATTCTGAGATAATTCCAAATGACTTTTGGATGGCTGCTACCAATGATTTTTATTACATATTAAACAGCCTTTATTATTACTTTATAAATATAAAACTTAATTTTACAGAAACAGAGAAAAAGGGACCCAAAGGTCAATTAAAAGGGTTTCAACGTATTTTCAGTCAACAAAAATAATGAATATAAAAATTATCTACGATAAGTCAATTATGTGCTTTTATTTATTTCAAAGGCTCATTACTGTACTGACCGTTTCATGTTTTCCATAGTTCGTTTTATGAAAAGGAACTATAAAAAGGTCAAGTGAACGAGACCTCAAATTGAAGTTAATGTAACCCCATTCGTAACATTACATCTTTTGCTTAATGTAGATAAGTTAATTCATTTAACCCTATTTGATCATCCCTATGAAAGTTGCGTAATGCATATCTTAAAATGTTTTTTTTTTGGATCGAATCAATTCTGTTTAGGTAAATATTATATTATAGTTATAATCTTTTCGAAAATTTTCATATCATCACCATATATAATGACTACAAAATGGAAACTATTATTGATGATAACGATGATAATTATTACGATACGTATATCTGCGGAACTCATTCATCAAATCATGATTCATTACAATAATTTTGAATAATAAGGTTTTATAGTTTTGAAATACAGCTCTCACATTTTAATTTCAAATAAATTCAATTAATGAAGAAAAAAATTATCATTATACCCGGCGTGAAGTTAACGAAAACACCAAAAGGATGTAAACAAAACATTTACGAAAAGTACGAAACATTTTTTAATTTTTTTAAATGGAGTTTATAAATTTTATTCATTATAAATATTCAGAGGTAGTAAACCTGCAATTACAGAACGAAAAAAAATTAATAATAAAAGGGATAGGATTAATTTGTTCTTGATATTTTGGGAAAAATGATTTTGAATAATAACGTTAGAGAATAAATTCAAAATATTTAAAGAACATTAAAGAAACGATATAAAGATATTAACAAGATTTTGTAGTTTACCTCTTTGTTTACTAAAAGAAGACTCCTCCGTACAAATGAAAATTAAATTGTCTTCGTCCTACAAAAGTTTCAAGTCACTTAGGTCTCTGCAAGACATCAAAATTAATTGTTAAATTTAAAAAACAAAAAAAAAATTGGCCTTATGCTTTCAATACATTGAACAACCATTAAAATCGCTGTTTTAAAATTTTAAAAGATTAAGTACTAACTCAAAATTATAATAGTAATATGAATTTATTAAAAGAATGTAAAATATAAACGTGCTCATATACAAAACACAGTTATCCGCTACTGAGTTTTAAAATATGTAGTTTTGTCAAACCTATTATGAAAGAAAAAAAAACATTTAATGTTTTTTAAATCACTTCAACAAATTAACCACATTTAAACTAGCTTGATAGACCAATGTATGTTTTTCAACATGTTGCCAAATATTAAAATTTTAAAAATTTCGAGAAGTGATAACTTGAGTGGGGAGGAGGTGGAAAAAACTTTTCTTCTAACGAAATGGACTATTTATTAGTTATGGTTTAGAAGAAAAACGTGTTCAAAAATTGGATAAAACTGACTCAAATAACGGTAAATTTTAGCAGTCATTTTGGTTTTTTAAAGTTCAAGTATAGTATGCCGCGGTAGTGGAAGCCAGCCAATAAATTTCTGTGTTTAAAAATTTAAAAAATGCATATAGTTATACTACAATAAATAGTTGAAAATGGTATTTTTAGGGTTTTGGGGAGATACAACTTTTAAAGGGGGCAGAAAGGTAAAAATTTTGTTCTACGAAAATTGGTTTCTAGTAAAAATCTATTTACATATAAAATTTCAGCTTTCTATCTTCAAGAATGTAGAAGTTTTGTAAACAGAAACACTGACAGACGGACGGACAGAGTGAAACTAATAAGCACTTTTTTTCAAAAAATTTTTTGGAAAAATGCTAAAAAGTAACTTAAAACTTAAATTTGCATATTGTCCCGCAATTATTATTGATTTTCAATTCCACTTTCTGCTTCTAAAAAATGATTAATATTTTAATACGCGAAGAAGGCAATTACCTTTCGAACTATTTTCAAATACATACATACAGTTATGTCACCCTCATCTCAACTACCAATATTGAATCATCCTGTACCGCTTTCGTAAATTTTATTTCTCACACTACATTCTTTTTAAATTCCATAAGTGATTATAACTAATTTTTTTTCTTTCCTAGAATTTTTAATATTTGTTCTCACAAATATCAAGCATTACTAGAATGCTGCATTCTAGTTTTTTTTTCCTTTTATTTTTTTTTTACCTAAAAACGCCGAATATGCAAAAATGCATAATTACCTAAGTTTTATTATAAACATGAGTAACTTTTTTTTCAACTGATATTGTTACAGTAAAAATAAAGCACATGTTAGAATATTTTAAAGATTTACTCTTTTAGTCTTATTTCGGAGTCATTACAGTAAAGTTTGTTAAATAAAATTAAGGAGTATAAAAGTTGTCAATAAGAATAATAATAAAAATAATAATAAAAAGAAAAAGAACATTAATAAGTGGAACCTATTTATAAGAAAATAATAATAATAATAATAATAATAAGAGTTTAACTTTAATAATATTAAATTTGTTAAATAAAATCAAGAAAGTTAATCACACTGAAAAATTTTTGTTGTTTTAATTACAAACAAAAGAAAAACGCCTAACTGTAATAATAATAATTGATAAATGCATAAAATGCATAATTTGCTTGAGTTAATTAATTTTTTCTATTAACTGCACTGCGTATAATAAGGAGGGTGGTGGAACCAAATTTTGCATATCAAGTTTTCGATGAAAATGCATTTCTCCATGTTAAAGAAGGAAGCGTTAACAAACTACTTTTAGTAAGATATGGTTCTGTCGATCCCGTGTATCTGAAGTTCGAGTAAGCACATTTTGATGAAAATTTTGAACGAACGGGTTTTACATTTTTGATCATTTTAAAGAAAATATTCAACAGGTTAGTTGGAAATACTTCTTTGACTGTACAAAAAACAACGAAAAAATCAGGTGCCAGCAACTAGACTTTTAATACGACCCAAATTTATATTTTTACCCATATAAAAGGAGCTGATTAACCTTAACATTGAAATTCAATATATGAGTTCTGTTTTCTACCATAAGTAGTTGGCGAACTTCTCAAGGAATTCGGATTATAGTGAATCTATTTGAAAAGCCAAATTTTATAACAAATTATATAACAAAATATCATTTACAAAACTCATAAATTCACAATCGGTATTCTTATAAGATCAGATATCTGTTAATTCATTATAGCGCATATACTTAAAATTTTAAAACTAGCATTTCAAATAATAAAAATGTGCTAAAGTCATAGCTCTCTTATAATATTTATTTTTTGTATTTTTATTTCAATAAAATTAAGGAAAAATATACATATCAGTGTCACTTTATGCATCCTTTCGTTCCCCTTTGCAAGAAACTCATCACTGTAAAGCTCCGAAATAAAACAAAACAAATGCAATTAACAAAACACAAGGATTGAATACCCCAGGTGGTAATCCAGTAATGCTGGAAAATCCACACTCTTCGGAGGCTGGTCTCATGGATTCTGGGGGAGATGCTTATTGCATTAGTAGATCGGCGTTGATGAACCCATTTAAAGGGAAATCAGGCGTCATGCAATCACCCCCATTGGTGACTGCCGACAAAAACAAGAAAAAGTCTAATAAGCTTGCAGAAGACAAAAACATGAAAATCCAAGAGGGTAATATGAAAAGGCATCTTATATAGGAGAGTAAATTAGATACTCAGGAGTCGAGAATAACCGAGTTAGAGAGTCTATGTAATGTGCTACAAAAAAAGATCTGCAAATTACAGACAGAGAATGTAGATTTAAAAAATCAAATACAATCTGCATCAAGAGAAAAGAAGAACAAAGATACGGAAATTATTGTATGTGAAACCAACGAGGAAGAACTGGCTAGAGAAACTGACTGGATACTAAAACAGAATAATGCAAAGAAGCGAAAAATGGAAAAGTCTTCTGATATAAATTCAGAGAGGACAGTTAAAAAAATAATGAAACCAGCCCTAAAATGAAGGTTGAAAATCGGAAGAAGCACAAGCCTCTTCCGATTATGTTGAGCAACATTAAAAACTACTCCCACATAGTTAAGATATTAAAAGAAAAAAGAATAAACGTTAGCGTCAGTATGATGAATAATGACCAATTAAAAATAAATGTGGAAAATGAAAATGAATACAGATTACTAACAAAAGCTGTAAATAAGGCTAGACTAGAGTGGCATCCATCGTGTCAGCCAGACTATATAAAAAAAGAGCTCATTAACAAAGGCTTTAAATGTTTAGATGTTGTAAATAAAATCAAAAGCAAAAAAGAAAATGGATCTTTGCGGCAGGCCTGTTTTGCATATTTAATCATTATGAAGAAAATATTCAACCGATTTACTTGGAATTCGCTCGACCATCCGCGGAGTCTACTAACTTTTGAAAGAAATCAGGTGTATGCAACTGGACATTTACTACGGGCCAAATATACATTTTTGCGTATATAAATTGAAATAATCAACCGATTTCATTGAAATTTAATATTTAAATTCTTTGTATCAGAACAATGAACATATAATTTTTTTGTAAAGATCAGGGCTCAGGAACTGATCTGAGGGCCGATTTTACATTTTTTACCATATCTACGGAACGAATTAGTGGTATTTTTTGAAATTCAATATTTGAGTTCTGGTTGTTACCGAAACTAACTGGCTTCAGGGAATTCGGTTAGCACAAAGCGAAACTCTACTAAGAGCCAAATTCACATTTTTCTAGGTATGTTTACTATAAGCTTACTAATGCTCTGAAAATTGGAAAGAAGTATTTAACAGGCATTTTTATAATATTCTGTAACACTTTCACTTAACTAGACAATACACATTGTGGTTGGCTATGTGCTGACCACATCACATTTTCTTGTACATATCATATTCGAGCGATTTATCTACTGACGATTCAGGAAATTGAGAGAACAACAAAACTTCTGGTGCAATTTAAAAGATCGATTTTTTGTAGCTTTTTTTTATATTACATATTTTTGTTTGTGCTTATAAAACTTAATTTATTTTCAAATAACATGTTGAGGTTTTTAATAATATGTACAATGCAAGGGATCCTCATAAATAAATGGGAATTTCATATCTGAATAACCTTAAATATCAGTATTATCATTACACGTGAAAAACATACTTATAATACAATGACTACACCTTCTGGTAAAAAAAACATAAAACCGGCAATGAATGATCGAAGCTGCAAATCAAAAATTTTTGATAATGTCATATTATGATTCAAGTTGTAAAGTTTAAGTTTTATGAAAAAAATTGTCATAGTGCAAATAATGTTTTTGTATTTGCGTTTTAGTTTTTATTACCACGACCGGTCTTTAACTCTTTCTGAAGTGATTAAAGAATACGTCTCCGGATAGTTTTTCTATTTCTAAAATTTTAAATTTTATGGAATTCTCCTAACCTTTTTTTTAACAAATCGCAACAGCAATTTTTATTTTGTGTCATGTTTTTAACATTTCTAAAATTACTTTAGCTTTGCTCTACTCTAAAATAGATGTTGTAGTATAAATTAATTAAAAATTTTAAACTTGTTTTTAATACAGGACAACAATTTGTTGACGTCTAATAAAATTCAAAAGTGCAATTGAAAAAGATCCAATTCAAAAGTGCAATTTGAATTATTTTTACAAAGTAACAGGAATGTTTTATAAGCATTTCTTGTAAGTGCTTTATTTGTGCAAACCTTGTAAAATGGATGTCGCGAAACAATTCAAAAAAAACGCAGATGATTACGATTAAATAAAGTTCATTACAAACATTATATTTAAATGGTACATACATATACATAATATTTCATTAAGAACACGTGCGTACTAATTCAGAAAATGTTAACGCACATTATTTTACAGAATTTTCTTTTTTGTTTTACTTACCTATTTATTTAAAATGATATTTCAATTGAATTTTTATTTCTTTATTTTATTTTCAATCCCAATGCTCTAAATTTTAATATTTTTATATAGGTTTATAGTTTGTATAATATTTTTATATACAAATATTTTTGATCTTATATAACGGTATTTTTAATTTAAATTGATTCAGAAAAACAAAATAATATATAATTTTTTTATAAACTTATTTATATTTGTATCGTGTTTATGTATGAATATATTAGGTTTGAAATACAACACAATAATATCATCATTTACCCAGGATTTTTAATTGTATTTAAATTGTAATGATTTCTATAGCCACAATTATTTAATATATGTACATACATATGTATGTATATATGCGAATTTATTAAACATTTAAATAACTGTTATTAAATATTTAAATAACTGAGATTTTTTTGTTTTCTGCTACATTAGAATCAAATCATTTTCCAGAAATTTAATAAATTATTTTTTGCAATTATTTCAAAGAAAACACAATAATACAGGAAGAACTAAATACGATAACTCTTACAACTCTTAAAGTTTTAAAATTTAGTTTTGATTTTGAACAGTTTTTGATTTTTACTATATAAGAGGCTAAGTACGATCACTAAATTTTATGTATTTATGTATGTATTTTGCTCTTAAATATTTTATTTAAAATACTTAATATTAAAATTTTCACAATTGTTATTTTTAACAAACAAAAAAAAATTAAAAAAATATTATTTATTTCTTAATTTAGAATTTGGTTTTTTTTTTGTTTTTAATATTAAGTAAACACACATTTATATAAATAGATACAATTTTTGTCTTTTTTCCAAAAATTTGAATTTGATTATTTAAATTTTTTTCGTTTTTTTATTAATATTCGTATTTATTGAACGTTTTACAGTCACATGCTTTTTGTTTTCAAAGTTTTTATTAAAACGCGAAAAAATCAATTTAATTTTATAATTGTGTTTTTTTTTTGTTTGTTTTAATTTTTAATTGTATTGTAAACAAAACTTAAAACTATAATGTAAAAATGTATGAATGCATGTATGTGTCTAGGTGTGTTCTTTTTCATTCTTATTATATTTTCGAAAATTGACGTAAATACATATGTGAGAATGTATATTTTATATTTACAGAAAACGGGAGAAGGATAATAATTATAAAACTTTGGAAGTTTGTTATTTGAATTTTTATATCTTTTTATCTCTTTGTATTTCTGACAATCGAAAAAAAATAAAAACAGTTGCCTTAATTTTACTGTTATAGTACGAACTCAAACAAAATGTCGACTAATTTAATTTTTTTTTTGTTTTTTATGTAAATGGTGGTAAAAATACAAATTAATCATTTGATATTTTTTTATTTTGGTTTTTGGTTGTTGTTTCACTTATATTTTTATTCTCTATTTTTTTTTAATGTTCATTCTTATATTACCTTATATAAATGTAATGTGTTATGTATATTAATATATTATGTATGTAGCTGAATATATTTACACAATTTTGAGGAAAATTTAATATAAAAAATTTTAAATTAACGGATTAACTTTTTTTAATTTTTCATATGCGCTTTTTTTTAAGCTCCAACTTTTATTTTTTCATTTTTGAAATTTTTATTTTTTTTTATTTTTATTAATATTATTTAATTAAAACTGTTTTAAAACTTTAAGTAAAGAAAAAACGTGGAAAAATGGAAAAAACTAAAAACTAAAAATAAAATTAAATATTATAATAATAATGGTTTTATTCTTATAATTTAAAATACCAAAAAAATTTTCTGGTTTAATTTATTTTTTTATGTGTGCACTTTTAATTGTATACTTAATAAATTTTCAAATATATAATATATATACGTATACATATGCATATACACATGCGTGTACGTTTTTTAGTAAATTCTTAAATACATTTTTGATTTTAAATTTGTGTCTAAAATAATTACCAGTAAGTTGATAAAATAATTGTGATAAAAATTAGTTTTTAATTTTTTTTACACAATATAATATATGAATATGAATGTAAATATTTTTATTGCTATATTTCAATTTAATTTTACTTAAAAAAATTTAGAAAAGCAAACTAACAATATTGTCTAAATATCAAACATATTTATGTACATAAATGTAAAAATACGTATAGTATAAAATAACAAAAATATTAAACTAAAAGTATTTTTACCATTTTACTAAATAATTAAATTGTAAATATAGTTTTTGTGATTTTGTTTTTATTAATACTTCTTAATTATTTTTTTTTATATTAAAATTTTTATTCCAACTTATACACTTTTTCAATTACAAAACCAAGTAAAAAAACAGAAATTAATGCCCCTTCGTTTAAAAAAACCTTTACTAATAAGTACCTACTTTACAAATACAAATTTTACAGACATCTACACACATGTATACATATTTACATGTATAAATTTTTTCTATAAACTTTTTATGATTTTAAATATTTTGGAAAATAATATATAAAAAAAATCAAAATTCGCTATTGTTTTTTTTAGCAAAAATTTCACGTAGATTTTTGGTATTTTTTCTGCTGTTTTTAATTTTTTTTATATTTTTTTAAATTTTTAAAATATTGTGTGACATTATCATTTAACAAAAAATAATGGGCATATAAGAAAAAATAAGTAATGGTATGAACGAATAGTATAAAGAATATCTAAGTTATTTTTCAGTTTAAAAAACCGTTTAAATAAATTAATTTAAAAAAAAACTCTACGTATACTTATGAATATGTTTAACTATAAAAAAATATACACACATATACACAAACACTACCATTAATGTGAGTAAAAGATTTAAAAATCTTTTTTTTAATCTTGTTTTAAAACTTCTTTTTTTCTTCGCTTTTCCTTTAAAAAAAAAATAATTAAATCTATTAAAACTATTTAAACCACCATAAAATCAATGTTTTTACGTTTTTTTCATTTCCCTTCTTTTTATTTCAAGTTTGTGTGTTTCACTTTTTGCAAATGAAAAACCGAAGCGCTATTTTTTCTTACCTGGGATAACTTTACCCAGTAGCAGACAATCCGGGACTAAAAGCTCTAAGCATCATTTTCTTCTTCTTTCAAACTTTTAAAATTTTAAATATATATTTAAAAGCCCAAGAATTCGCACACCACATACAAAAAATGACGTGCAATATTATAATGTACATACATATAATGTATATGTGCAGAAAAAACGTATAATATCGATGTGGTAAATATATATATAAATGTATACACATATAACAATAACAGAAAAAAAAACACAAAAATATACCCCTTGGGCCAGCTGTAAATACAGCACAGAAAATCCGCAATAACAAAAATATTTAGAAGAAAATAGTAAAATTGTTTCACTCAAAACAAATTATTTTAAAAATCCACAAATGGACAATAAATAGTAAAATTATTATGAAAATTTTTAACGATATGTTGAATAGATTGAAATCGCGCTGTTAAATTAGATACTATAATAACTTAACAGAAAATATGAAAATAAAATGTTTTGAATATTTTAAAGTTAATACCCGAACTACTTTCAAATTTTCATAATCACACTGTACTTTTTGCAGACTATTTTCCACAATATTTTTTTTTGTTTTCTTTTTTTGTTGCAAAACAAATTGTCATACATCATCATCACAAAGCGCGATTTAATAATTAAAAACAATAAAAGTGTGTATAATAATAGAAGTTACTAGGTGCAAATATAGATACTTAAAAATTTCAGTAAAATGTGCACACATACTTATAAATAATGTTATAAAGTGTAGGGAAACAAAATACAGAAAAATAGGAATAAAAAAAAATTAAAATATTCAAGTGAAAATAAGAGAAAAAGATAAAAATAACAATTTCTTGTTCGTTCAATGAAAATCCGTTATAAAAATAAAATAAAACACCTTGTTTAAATATTTTTCCTTGCATAACTTTTGAAAAAAAGCTTTTTATTAAAATTTTTTCCCCTTCTGTTGTTTTCCCAATATCTGCAAAATTTTTAAAAACTTTTTGCACAATATTTTGTAATTAAAAAAAAAGAAAGGAAAAGCTTCTCGAGTTTTTATTCCCTTGCAAAAATTTTCTTATTTCTCAGAGAAATTACCATTCTCTCTCTCTTGTCTTTTTTGTAATTTTTTTCTCTTTTATTCTCAAATTTTTGTTCTCTTCATTCCTTCTTTAACATCATGCAGTTAGTACGCTCTGTACTGTACATAAAAACAAAGCGTTAATAAAGCGTATAAAACAAAGAAAACAAAAAAAAATTTTAAAAAATCTTAAAGTTTTATAAGTATGAAAAACTGAATTTTATTTTATTTTATACCGTTATTTATATGGCGAAAATTTTTCACTAAAAAAACAAGGAAAAAGAGAGTTGACCTTGTCAACTCTGTGATACTCGTACGAATTTGTTATCCTTTGTGCCAAGTTCTAAGATGTAGCCAAACTACTATTGAAGTTGTACGACAGTTACAACAAGGAGTTAAGAAATTTCAAAGATTTTTATCACACATTACAGAAACAGCCCAAACAAGTTTTCACAAGATTTCTGTATTATAATTCCAATAATTTCTGAGATAATACAAAATAACTTTCGGAGTTCTATGGCAGCTATTACTAGTGCTAATGAGATTTCAACAATTATTAACAACTATAGCTGCCATTTTATCGCATTTTATATTTCAAAATTAATTTTCAGTACTGTAGGCTGAACAGTTTTTAAGATACAGCCAAATAATTTTTCAAGTTGTATGGCAGCTATCAGAAAGAGCCAAGTAATTTTAACGAACTTAAATACAATAACCCTAATTTCAAAATCTACTATCAAATACAATAATGTGAAATTTCAATACCACAGCTTTTATAGTTTCTGAGATATAGCCAAAAAAATTTGGAAGTTGTATGGCAGGTTTTAATCATAACTGATCCACGATAATAACCAATTTAAATAGGGTTCTTGTTTAATACGGTTTTACTATAATGAATCATTTGTGAAAATTTGGTGAACTTAGCTCAATTAGTTTTTGAGTTATCATTGGGACGGACAGCAAAGCTAAATCGACTCAGAATTCGACACTGATCAAAAACATACAATTCAGTCTATGTCTCAGACCATTATTTTTTAGCGTTACAAACTGTAAGGCAAATTCAATATACCCTTGGAATGTACGTTCGTACGGGTATAAAAATAAAATTGTAAAAGCTCTTTCATTTTCCATACTTACAATCGTAACGATAAGAAATAATAATTTTGAGACTCTGAAGGTTTTGGAAGGCATTTTGAATATTTTTATATTACATATCAATTGTTAACCATTATTTATAGTTAATGACAGTCAAATTTTCTACTAGCAATAAATGTTTTTATTATTTTTCGTAATTTTATTTAAAATTTCGTTTATTGTAAGGTTGATGACAGTACTATGTAATGAGGTAGAGCGTGAAATATATAATTCTGTAAATATGTAGAATAGTTGTAAATGAGCCATATTTAAAATTAGCTTACAGAAATATTCTTATTTCAAAGTAAATATTTATTTTTAAATTACAGAAAAGCTTTTAATCACGTTGTTAATATTATTATGGTTTAATAAAGTCATTGATTTCTTATTTGTTATTCATTGATTTACAATTTAACATGACGGGTGAAAGGACATTATTAAAACAATAAAAATGGATTTAAAGTTAATTAACTGTAAAAATAATTCCATAGTTAACTAATATAGCATTTTTAATCATAAAAAAAAACAAATATTTTTTTGTCTAGCCTTCAATTTCTTTTATTTAGGAAATCTTTCGCAGATAAAAAAAGGAAAAATAGTGCTATAGATAGCACTTCGAAAACTTGTCTCAAGACGGATACACCACCGAATTTTCAACAGAAATGTACTCGTTTATTGTAGGGAAACGTAAATAAGCCCTATTTTTTAGCGAAATGGTAATCTGTTAATCTTCTTTCTTTTTGTGAACTCTTCCATTTCAAATTTAGGGTTATTCTGTAAATGTATGCTTGTGCTAAGCAATTTTGTGTTTAAAATGTATAAGATAAAATTGTAAGACATCCATGTCGTATTAGTATGCAACTGTAATCACTCGCCCATAAATGTTTATATACCAATGCAAAAAATTTATGTGTCGGCTGATTTGAATAAAAAAAAAGCATTATAATTTTCATATATATGTATATATATATAATAATATATATATAATTTATTATTATGTATATATATATATAATACACATTTGTAAAATTTGGCAGACCCCAAAATTGTTGATAAAAATTGATAAAAATTTTCGTGCTGGAAAAGTCCAGTTTATTTACTTTAATCCTGTGTCAATAAATGTAATAAAATATCCACAAGAAAGCTAGTATGTGCGTTTGTGATATGCAGTTTACCTGTAATTCTGCATAAATTATAAAAGATAAATTTTTTACTTAGATTTTTTTGAGAAAAAAGCTCGAACTATTGAAATGAGTAAATAGAATTGAAGAAACTCCAAATCAACAAGTTCCTGTGTTAATTTTTCTTCTCTATACGTGAAAATTATCATATACACATGTGTTTATATTTGTGTACATGAACGTTTTCTTAGTATAGCTACTAGTATATAAAGTATGTACATGTATTATGGAAAATGCATATGTTGCTTCTCAAAACGATAAGAACATATTAGGTAATACATTATATACCTTTTTTGTAAATGAATCAACCAATATATGTACTACAAGTAATAGGCAAATAATATAATATTATTGTATATTAAAAGCTACGTATGTAAAAATGTATAATTTTTGTCACAATTTTTATTATATTACAATAACAATGTTTATGTTGAGAGAGAAAGTTATGAATTTAAAAAAATTTGTCTCATCTTAAAAACTGATTTTCTCATGTTAAAAATATTTACGTGCTATCGCAAAGCAAAACCGAAAATGAACCAAGATTACAATTATTTTGAGTAATGAAAAAAGAAAAAAATAAAGTTACAATAAAATATGCATTAAAATTCTAAATTTTTACTTTACTCATTCTCTCCAAAAAGTCTCTTCAAAAAGTACATCGCACTACGCCATTGCCGTGAGAGAATTGTTGTATGTTACCATGTAACAAAAACAACCAAACTTGCAAAAAAAAATCATAAAGCAAAAGAAAAAACGGAAATTGAAAAACAAAAACCTTTTTCTTTTCCTTTAGACTTTCTTACTTTTTTCCATTCATTATTTGCCCTTGAGGTTTTTCCTATTTTCAAAAAACTAAAAATATCCTGGTCTTTTGAATTTTTTTGTTCTTTATTTAGCTCGCGTCGTAAATTAAATTTGAAATCAAGCTCTTTCATCATAATGAAGAAAGAAAAAAACACTAAGGTGTTTATGATCAAAATAAAAACGTTCATGTTAACATTTCTGTTTTGTATATATGTACATACCTACATATTTATATATATATATGCATAAATATATTTTTATTCACATATCATAAGAAGAACATTAAATTATAATATCTTATAAGCTCGAAAAAAAATCTTGAAATAATAGGAAAATACAATAACAAACTCTTATTTTACATAAAATGAAATTTAAATAGTCTTAAGATAAATAATTAAATAGATAATTAAAATAAGAACTGAATTCGTATGGAAACATAAAAAAATCTTGCCATATTGGGTTACATATATGTATATAATTTTATTCACAACTACAACAAGAGATCGCAACAAATTTCTTTAAATATTTTCTTTTGGAAAATATTAAAATTATGTAAGGTTTTTGAAAACATTAAAACTTGCAAAATTTAAAGAATCTTTTTTATAAATTTATGCTTTCACAAAAAACAAATACCTAGAAGTAATGTTTAAGTAAAGCGTAAGCCCCACATTAAAGCATATGAAAAAATTTGTTTGTTCTTACTCTAAGTTAGATTTAATTTGATTTTTGTTTAATAAATTACATGATAGTTATAGGATATTAACGTGATAGGATAGTTAAAGAATTTTTTTGAGCTTTATTCTAAGAAGAGTGTTTGAATATACAGATGAACTTTCGATATTTTTTCGAAATATAAACCGATATTATGTTATATATTATAAAGCTTCCAATTGATGAACAATAAGCAAGATATTTATAGATATGAAATATTTTTACGATATTAAAAAAATTTTCGTTGCCCTTTGCAAGAAAAAAATTTGTATTTTTTCTCAAAAAGCTTCCTTAATATGAAATGAGCATTAAAATAAAAATTATTGAAGACGCTGATAGATTTGATTTGACCGAAATCGAGTGCAAATTTTGTACAAATTGGCACAAAAAAAAGTATCAACATAAACTCTACATATATTGTACTATATATTATATTGTCCTTTATATACACAATATATTGTCATATTTCGCTTTCAAAATAAAATAATACTGAATTAGAGAAACAAGTATTTTGAATAAATTTTCTGATCTAAAATTAATTAACAATACCTGAAAATTAAAAAAAAAACTTTTTTAAAAATTTTGGATTTTAAGAGTCATTTAGCTATTTCATACATTTTTCGAAATACTGGTGCTGTTGAAAAAATTTCATCAACTTTACCAACACATGAACACAATTTTTAGCACATTTACAAAAAAATTTTGAAAAGAAATGCTTATTAGTTTCACTCTCTCCGTCCGTCTGTCTGTTTGTCTGTTTACAAAACTTTTACAAAGAAGATAGAAAGTTAAAATTTCGTACAGGCATAGATCTTTACTAGAATCTTATTCCTTTAGAAGACAATTTCTACCTATCTCCACCCCTCTAAAAGTTATTGCCTCTCAAATTCCTAAATATGTAATTTTTTAACAATGAACGCATTTGTGAGAACAATGACATAAGTCGAAATGCAAAGTAACAAACTTGCTTTTATTATTATTATTATTATATACTTTAATATATAAAGCTGTTCTGCAACAAAATACAGAACATTTGTTCATATACTTGTAGAATTCCTATATATTATTACAGAAGTTCTATGCCAACGTTTTTTTAGCCTTCGATGGTAATTTACACTCGGCTACAAATACTTTAAATTTCACAAGTCGAAGTTATATTTTTGAGTTGTGTCGTTATTCTTCTCAATGTGCGAATTCATTGTACGGCAAACACAGAAATTAGTGGCTGGCTTCTTCCACCGCATACTACATTCGAATTTTAAAAAAACGAAATGGTCGTTAAAATTGATCGTTATCTAAAATGCGATTTTTTAAATTTTTATATCGTTTTTCTTCTATGCCGCAGTTTTAAGAAATTTGAAATTTAAGCAGTTTTTAGAAAATAATAAATAGTTAATTTCGCTAGAAGAAAAATTTTTTCTACATCCACCCCTCTCAAGTTATAACCTTTCGAAATTTATAAAATTTGAATTTTCGGTACCTAATATTTCCGAAACTTGCAATTTGTTTGCAAGTTATGCAAACTAAATAAATTTATGCAATCTTTGAAATATATTTGTATATTCATAAAAGTAATTTTAACAGTGTATTACAAAGCAAGATTGTTTTTAAAAGCAGTATTTTCAGTTGTTAAATGGAAAGGTGCTAAATTGCAAACCATTGGTTTGACCCAACTTTGTTGTTTAATACTTACAACAGAAATTTGTTGTGCTATCGTTGTTTTTATTTGGTGGTAAAATTTACTATAGAAGGCGGAAAAAATTTGTTTTAATAAAAAAAAAAGATAACACGCAAAAGCTTTTAATCTTCCTTAATTAAAAACTACATTTACACATTTAATTATGTTTGTATTTACTTGTGGGTATATTAGCACATACAGCATACATTATATATTAGTTATCAATAAAGTTTATACTAGAACATTTCTTTGTACTTTTAGTTAAATAGGATTCTGTTTATTTGCTACTTCTACTTGTATGAATAATATTATTATATACAAGTATGCGTGACTTCAAACGCTTGTTGAATATACATGGCTGACAAAAAGTTTAGCAGAAAGTTTTAAGGGGAACAATATTCTTGTGAGAAGTTAACATAACTTTTGATTAAAATTCCCAAGTATGTCTCTTTTCTTTTATTCCACTGAACTTGGATTATTCTTTGGTTTTGTTTTATTTTAGGTAGCTTTTATGCTTTAAACATTTTTGGAAGAACATAGAGCAGTACAAATGCGGTGATTACTATTCCACAAATATACACAAACGGAAATGCGTGTTTATATATTATACATTCATAATTAGTTTTCTTAGGAATGCTTGTTTGATTTTTTAAGGGACAATAATGAAGATTTTACATGACCTGGTAATTTAAAAAGTAAAGTGCAATTAATTGGTTATTTTGTAAATGAATGCATCTAAATGTTTGTCTAAGCTTCCTCAACTTTTTAAATTATTCCCATATTAAATTTTTTAAATGAATAACAGCATAAAGTCGACATTTTTCTCCTACTTTATCTTATAGACTTAAACTTTAAATAAATAAAATTAAATACAAATTCAATATTGATAAATTAATTAAATATTATTAAATATTTATAATAGTTACTTTGACTAATATAGAAGCAAATTAGCTAATTGTTTTTAATGTCGAAATGTTTGATTTTAGGTGGTAATTGAGTTATTTAACGTATGATACATAACCGACTGCAATGTGTATTGTCTAGTTTAGTGAAAGTGTTACAGAATATTATAAAAATGTCTGTTAAATACTTCTTTCCAATTTTTAGGACATTAGTAAGCTTATAGTTAACACACCTAGAAAAATGTAAATTTGGCTCTTAGTAGAGTTTCTTTTTGTGCTACCCGAATTCCCTGAAGTGCTCGTCATTTAGTTTCGGTAACAACCAGAACTCAAATATCAAATTTCAAGAATTTCCATCAATTCGTTCGGTAGATATGGTGAAAAAATGTAAAATCGGCCCGCAGATCAGTTTTCGAGCCCTGATCTTTCCAAAAAAATTTATATGTTCATTGTTTCAATACGAGGAATTTAAACATTAAATTTCAATGAAATGTGTCGATTATTTCTTTTTATATATGCAAAAATTTATATTTGGCATGTAGTAAACGTCCAGTTGCTGACACCTGATTTCTTCCAAAACATAGGAATTTTCGCGGACGGTCGGTCAAGCTGTGCTTACATATAAAATTTCAAGTAAATCGGTTGAATATTTTCGCTAAAAAGTGCAGTTCCCGAGGCCTGATATATACCAAAAGTTGATCAATCCGTGCCATGGTGGAAATAAACTTACATATATTTCATCAAAATCGGTTCAGCCGAACTTGAGATACACGCGTGCACACACAGACCGACAGATCGACAGGTTGCTAAAAATAATTTATTTACACTTCCCTACTATGGAGAAGTGCATTCCCACCGAAAACTCGATATGCGAAATTTGTTGCCATCACATAACCTACCTATTGTTTAGACAATAATTACGGTCGGTAATAAATTTTTGCTTTGTATTTTTAAAATAAAGTTTAACGAAAAAACTGTCTTTAAGCTTACTAATATAACTTATAATTATAATTTAATAACATATGATTTATTCTGGATGTGGCAACCGAAATAATTTATTTTGACGATTTTTTATAACAAAATTTCGATATTGAAATTCATTGTAACTCTGAATGAAAAAGTTGTAAAAATTTCTATAACGGTTTTTCCACTTATAAATTAATTTTCATTTATGAATTAATTTTTAAAAAGTTTTGAAAAAATGGAATTTTTATTATGCAATGTGCATGAAACTATGTTTAATTGTAATATTTTTAATGAAAATTACGAAAACTAATTATAATTATGGAACAAAATAAAATTTTTTCTTAAAGAGTTTTATCGCAATGTTTTCAAATAGCGGGTCTTAATTTATTTCCGTTTGTATAACTTCGAAGAAAAAAAATCTGATCTGATCAGCACATAACCGCAATATATATTGTCTAGGTTAGTACTCGTAAAAGTATTCCAGAAATTCTGAAAATGCGTTTTAAACACTTCTTTACAATTTTAAGGACATAAATAACCTACCTAGAATAAAGTTGGGTCAAACCAGTGGTTTGTATTGTAACACTTTCCTTCAACATGTAAAAATACTTCTTTTAAAAACAGTCTGTATATACCTACCACACTATTAAAATTATTTTCATTCATATACGAAACTATTTCTAGGGTTGCATATATTTAGGGTGAACGATTTATGCAGTCTTTGAAATAAGGCAAAAAATATTATAAAGAGGGGTTAACATAATGCTCGATTTTAAGGGTTAGTTGCGTGTGTTAAGAAAAATAATTATATTTTTTAATGTCATGGATTTTACCGTTAAGTTTTTGCGCTTATAGAAATTTGAAAAAGCTTGCGGTTTTGGAAATATAAGGCATGAAAAATTTAAATTTTACAAATTTCAAGAGGCGATAACTTGAGAGTGGTCGGAGATGGAAAAAAATTTTCTTCTAACGAAATGAACTATTTGTTAATGCCTAAAAGCTTCTAAGACTACAGGCTCCCACAACCTGGGTTCTAGAAGAAAAACAACATCGAAAATTTGAAGAAAACGGATTTTATATAACGCTAAATTTTAACGGCCATTTTGTTTTTTTTAAGTTCAAGTATAGTATAACGTGATAGAAGAAGCGACCCACTGCTTTTCTGTGTTCGTAAAATTTGAAAAATGCATATGGTTCTACTACAGTAAATAGATGAAAAATAGCATTTTTAGGGTTTTGGGGGGGTATAACTTTTAGAGGGGGGAGATAGGTAAAAATTATGTTCTACGGAAATTAGTTTCTAATAAAGATCTACGTACATATAAAATTTCAGGTTTTCATGTTGAAGGGTGTAGAAGTTTTGTAAACAGACACACGGACAGACAAAACGACGGAGTAAAACTAATAAGCACTTTTTTTCAAAAATTTTTTGGAAATGTGCTAAATTTTTAAAAATAAAAAACATTTAATGTTACAAAATTTTTTGATCGAATAACTTTGTAAGTACATATGTAAATCAGAATGAAAATTTTATATTTTCTAAAATTATTTCATTTGTTTGCCTTTAGCTAATAGCATTGTTGTACTTAAGGGTAATTTACTTTTTTCCGATAAATCTTTAGCAACTTGATCTTCCAAAGCTTTCTGTTCCCTTTTTATTTCTTCAGCATTTCTCACCAAAAATATTGGAACATCATCATCTCTGCCCTAAAAAAAATATAATATCTTTAGTTTTTTTCTTAAATAAAAATAAATCAAATTGAAATTGAAAATATTTTATATAGCTATACTTAGTTATAACTTGACTCTGTTATAAAAATTCAAATGGATAAATATAAAATTAAATTATTTTTACTTTAAATTGTTTTTAAACAGATAGAGAGAGGGTGGAAAACGACGATTACACAACATGACCTTGAAATTTGACTGAATAAAAAATTGATTTATCGATTTATTGACAGACATTATACCGTATTTGAAAACATAATTAGATAAACTTCACTGAATATTGAAATATTCAAAACCAACCGTAAAGAATAGCAATAAGATAAATAAAAGAAATTAGGCTTGAAAAAACATCCCCACGTCAGTTTAATAGTCTCTTTCAAATCAGGACTCTCATTTTTTTAATTGAATATGTCGTTTTTTCAATGACATTACTCACTATTTGCAAATGAATTGCTAATTTTTTTTCTCAAAATATAAATTTGTAATCTGCAAAAATAAAATGACTGGATGGCGATGAAATTTTATAAATATTAGAAAAACGCGCGTAATACGAAAATATCCTTTTCACATGAAAATTACGTTACATGAATGCGGGAAACTAATTCAACTTCTATCCATCCAGTGAGGAAAGGAGAGACACACAATCAGGCCTTCTTTGACGATTTAAAATAACTTTTTAACGTAAAACTAAATAGTAAATGATAGCAAATCATATTGCTATTTTAATTTTAAATTTATTTTTAGCAGCAATATAAATTATTGCTATTTTAAATTATCTTAATAGAATGTGAGTTGGGTGAAGCAAATGTTTTATAATTTAGCACTTTTGATTTAACAAGTGAAAATAATTTGAGAGCAATTAGTTATGTACGCGTACTATATTATTAAAATTTCTTTCATTCATATACGAATATATCTCAAAAATTGCGTACCTTTAGAATGAGCAATGTATTAAATCTTTGAAATAGACCAAAAAAAAATTTAAAGAGGCGTTAAAATAATGCTCGATTTTAAGAGTTATTTGAAAGAATTTGAAGTTAGCTTTCCCCGTTTATAGGAATTTGGACAAGCTTACGGTTTTGTTAATATAAGGTGCCAATAATTTAAATTTTACAAATTTCGTGAAAAAATAACTTAGGAGAGAGTGGAGATAGAAAAAACTGCTAGCGAAATGAATTAATTATTAGTGTCTAACAGCTGCTAAAATTTCAGACTCCTAAACCTTTCGGCCTAGAAGAAAAGTGATATTGCAAATTTGGTAAAAACGGGATTTAGGTTACGGTAAATTTTAACAGCCATTTTGTTTTTCTAAGTTCGAATATGATATTTTTCTGCGTTTGAAATATTTGGAAAATGCTTCTGGTTTCGCTGTAATAAGTAGTTGGAAAGGGGAGATAAAAGTTTTGTTCCACGGAAGTAAGTTTTATAAAGATCTATGTACGTATGAAATTTCAGCTTTCTTCAAGGATGTAAAAGTTTTGTAAACATATCCACGGACGGATAAACGGACGGACAGAGTGAAACTAAAAAGCACTTTTGTTCAAACATTTTTTGGAAAAGTGCTAAAAAGTGACGTCAATTGTATCCGTAATGCGAATTAATGCGAATTTTGGCTTAGGCGAGATAATTACAAATACATTACTTATACAAATATTTACCTGATATAACATTTCTCCTTCAAAATAAACAAGCCCATGTTTCCGTGCTTTTACCAGAATGCTTAAAAATTTACTTGATAAGTAATTATATACCTGCAAAAATATATTGATTAATTCCCGTGTTCAAGGTAAATAATGAAAATGTGTGTTAATTAAAACATTAATTTAATTCAGTTTTGAAAAATTTTTAAAATATTTGGAAAACACTAATTTTATTAATTTAACTCTGTTCCGGCATCAATTCCCAAAACTTATAAACTCTTCAAGGTAGAAACGTGAAATTTTGTATACAAATTGATATATATATGTATTATTATAAAAAGTTTTTTTCTAGAAATAAATAGTAAGTTAAATCCCGACCTTTACAAGTTATGTTCTTTCGAAATTCTAAAAGTGTCATTTTGTAAGGCTTATTTGTATCGAAACTAGAAATACATTTTAAGTTCTACAAACGAAGAAAAATGACAACTTGTTTTCTTTTGCGATGACTACGGTAAATTGGCCACTGAAGTTAATCTTTATCTGCAACACATTTTCTTTTTGAAATTTTTCCTCTTAAATTATTCTTAGAAATATCATTTCAAAATTTGTTTTCTATTTTAAATTAATAATAAAATTTAAATTTATGGCAACCCTTTTTCTTAAACTATAATAGGAAAGTAATCGAAGCAGCATCGACTTAAAATCCTCTAAAAATCATGTTCGATCAATACGGTAACATCATAAATTTTGGTGTCCAAAAATGTTAAAAATACGCATCGTATGCGTATCATACTAAATCTGAGAAGTAAATTGTTCATTATTTTAAATCAATAATTAATAAGGTTAATTAACTAATAAAGTTAATTATCTTTTGATAATATTAACTAAAAAAAGTGAGAATTGCACCGTATTAATATTTCTAAATGTGTCATTATATAAAAATTTCTAAAACTTAGTCGAAATTAAAAATTTTTGTTTTAGTAGATTTTCAATTGTTAATAATACATTTTCATATTTAATTTTAAGTGCCCAAAAATGTCAAAGTAATTTTGCAACAGTATGGTAATCACGAAGGGTCTCAGAATTCAAAGCCGGGTCAGGTCACTATAAAAATTATATTCAATATTATATAGCTTTATACACATTACATATAAAAATAAAAAAAAATTAGTATTAACTAATTGCCACATTTTCAATAATATTCAATATTAAAAAAAAATACCAGCAAAATAAAAAACAGTAAATATAAATAACCTTAAATATCTAATATAAAGAAAAAAAAACTACGGTAGGTTCGTCACCTACCTAGTAAACCAAATGACGTCAGAAACTGGTTCATGGTTATGTACAATAATCTCAAACCACCCTCCTAGGATCGAAGTAGGATAAAAAAAAATGGCACCATCAGTAACTTTTTTTTTGTATTTGTGCCTTAAACCTTATGTATTTGTACTGCATCGATTCACATTTTTGATTAATTTCCGATTATACTCAACAGCTTCATAGAATTCATACATGAGAAAAGAAAGTTTGATAAATGTTTAGGAAAAATAAATGGCCTTACAACTAGTATTTTTTATGGCAATTTATGTTTCATTCTCTATTCGTCTCCAAACTGGCCCACAATCTCCAAAGCTTCCTTTATTAATGCAAATACATCTCGTCGACTTGACTCTTATTTTTACTTCATATAAACTTTTTCCAATTTGTAATTGCAAAACGTTCCAAAATTCTGTATATGTTACATTTTTCCATAAATTTATAAACAATTTTTAAATCCTTGCATAAGTAATTTAATGTATGTATTCCTAACAAATACATAAGCTTAAGCATAAAGGATATGGTTCAAATTAAATTATAAGATGATTGATAAAGTTTGTGCCACGTATATAACAATTAATAAACACTTAGCTGAAGTTTATAAGTAAAGGTGCAATTTAATTGTCTCTCAGTCTTCGTCAAAGTGAATTTTCTTAACCTCCACCTTACTTGAATAAAACTTGAATAAAATAAATTTTAAAATATTGTTACAATCTTAAAATAACATTAAATTAAATAAATTGAATAAACTTAATTTTTTTGTTGAAAAACTAACAATTTCCGTTCATATTAATTCGTTTTTACTATAAATCATTTTGTAACAGATTTACGCTTTTGTAACAGATTTGTAACAATATTTTAACAGATATAGGTAATGTAGTTTTTTGAAGTTTATGCCTATTTGTTCCATTCATTCTTTCACGTTAAACAATGCAAACTAATTTATTCTAAACAGTGGATATAGAATAATTTAACACATATCATTTGTTTTTAAAAGTGCAAAGTAATAAAATACTTTTATTAGATAAATTCTAATTTTTGCATATTTTAATAGTTATAACACCAAATAAAATTTTCTGGAACTTTAAGAAAATTCTATCGCATAGATTTTTTTATAGCACTTCAAACTTTGAAGTCTCTTTCCTCGAAAACTTTCTTTTAGGCACGTGGAACAAATAAGCAATAGAAAGATTCTTGTATTATACCATTCTTGTAAAATTTGCAAATATATGTTATGAATATATTATATATGTTCGAATAAAGATACACAAGATTTTATTTTATTTTTGTTTGTAAATAAAAGTGTGTCTCATTTCAAGTGGCTTATAAGTTGGAGTTCGGTTTTTATTTTGTACGAAATGCATTTTATTTAGTACCAATACACAATATTTGACAATTAAATTACTTAAAACCCAAACAAATCCTTTTTAGAAATAAATACACTTTTAAGACTCTACAACGCAAATTTAACGTAAAAAATCATTAAAATTTTCATTATATAATTAACATTAGGTTCCTAAAATAGTTAGAAAAATGTATTAACTGTAAAATAGTTTTCTTCCACTTCAACTTTATATATTTTCACTCTAGTATTATAAATAAATTAAAATATGTACTTATAAAATAATACTTACATCGAAAAGACCACCGAATGTTATAAATTTACGATGTGGTTGAACGTCATTAGCTTGCCCATGTTGATCGATTGCTAAACAAAGTTCAATAACTTCTCGTACTAAAGCGGTACTATCTTTACCACCTTTGATATCGATAAGAACCTCTTTCAGTGGCCTTTATATTTTGATAAAATTTTAATTATTTAAAAAATGAAAGAAAATATTAGAAAAATAGTCAAGAAATTTATTTTTAATCGCCATTTTTTTCGACAATGTTTCACCTTACTTTTTATATACGGGATCGTATAAAATTTGTGAACCGGGATTATAAGGATTATTTTTGAACATTGACATATTATTTGCCATTTTTGCAGATTGTTTTTTCTTATATATGAAATTTTATTGCTTTGAAATTTTATCCTTATTATCTCCGTACAAGAAGTTATTGATCACTTTCAACTGTACCAGCTTACAGCTAATAAAGAACTAAAGACACAAAATAAATTAATTTTCTTTTCGAAGTCTTTTCATTTTGTGGTGTATTAAAAAAATCAAAAATAATTAAAAAAAAATAATAAGGTGGTATACATTTAATTTTAAATTCCGATAGTGATGATGATTATTGATGATTAGAAATCTTAAGTAATTGAAATACGTGTATTTTCTCAATTTTTTTTTTTTCGCTTGATTTAATACTTAGTAAAAAATAGAAATATTCACTTTAATAATCAATTTACAGTTTCATTCAAAAATAAAAATTAATAAAGAATATCAAATAATAAGAAATCTACTTTTCATTAGGCCGTTTCTGTGGCTGCTATAATTTCTTGCACAGATTGACTATTAGGAAAAGTTTTCTGTATTCATAGTATTCTTTCTGCATTGATAAACTGCAATACAATATATCATTGAGGTTAATTTAGTTGAGTTGTTAGTTGAAAATTGTTTTCAGAAATATATTTTCTAATTTCATTAGATTTCAGAAATATGAAATCTAATTTATTGGCTAACTTGAACTATATTAAAAAACTAGTTAATAATAAAGTTTTGTCAAACCAATGGTGTGTATTGTAGCGCCTTTCCCTTCAACAAGTGAAAATACTGCTTTGAAAAACAATCTGTGTATAACTACCACACTATTAAAATTATTTTCATTTATATACGAAACTATTTCTAGGATTGCATATATTTCGAATGAGTGATTTATGCAGTCTTTGAAATAAAGCAAGTATAAATTTTAAGAGGTGTTAGTATAATGCTCGATTTTAAGGGTTTATTTTGTGTGTTGAGAAAAGTAATAATTTTTTTTAATGTCATGGAGGGGCCCAAAACCGCACTGTCACCTCCTAGTGGTGGGCCCCGGTAATGGCGGAGGATAAAGGGGTGATTGAAACGATCAAAGTTACGTTCGTGTCGTGGTCATGTCTCGCGGCGAGCCTCTTGCTTTGTGAGTTTCAGCCCTATATCTATACGTCAGCTGACGACAGGCGTCCCAAGTCAAGGTGGAACAGCATATGCCGATGACTGCGTGGCTAAGGGGGAGCTTAGTCGTTAGTATGCGGACTCTGGATACCAGGCGCCCTCCAGTTTAAATGAGCCTTCCCATGGTATGCCGGGCTCTGCCATGGGTGACTTTACTTTCCCGCGCTACTCGTGGGACAGAAATGGAAAACAACAACAACAACAAGACAAATAACAACAGTGACAACAACAACAACGACACTAAGGACAACATACAACCACTTAGTGCTCAAGGGTCTTCGGAACCAGAGCTTCTCTCAACTGACGCAGAGGAGGAACTCCTTCTCACGCCAGTGGAGGAAAAGGCTTCGCCTCCGATGGAGACGGATAATCAGGATCCTCTTGGACCTATTATCCAAAAAACTGAGGAGGACCTGAAAAGGTTGGACATCAGGGGAAAAAAACAATATTTCTCTGGTGCATCCAAGCGGCGTATCGCGGCTTATATCAGGGATGGCATGTCCCCAGAGGAAGCTCGCAGATACGAGAAGGAAAGGCTGGAAAAGCTGAAGGCCTGCGGATCGGTTGTTGTGGCCGACCATCCCCAAAAGAGGGAAAGGTCGGAAAGCAACACCCCTGATGCAGGGCCCTCAAAGAAGAGGTCGATGAAGGGCAATGTTGAGGAAAAGGTCCCTGGGAACATTCCTCAACAAAACCCGAAAATGACTTCTTATCGGGATGCAGTAGCACAGGTCAAGGTGGCCATCACTCATAAACTGCATCCAGAGGAAAGGCTATCCGAAGTCCAGATGGGGAAAATCAAAGTAGCCATCATGGATGAAATGGATAGGGTTGTGGACTCTCATCCACAATTCACTGCAGCGTTGCAAAGGGACGGATGGATATCCGTAACATGCAACAATCAAGACACCAGGGAGTGGATAACCAGTGTCTGCAGGAAGATAAAGCCTTGGGACGGTTGCGATGTCGTGGTACTGGATGGCGACAGCATGCCCAAACAGCATGTCTGCGTCACCTACGTACCAAAGGACGAGACAACCGTCAGTCTCTCCAGGGACAAATTTCTAAGTAGGATAGGGAAGCAAAATCCCAGCCTCAAGATAAGTTCCTGGAGGGTGCTGAGGATGGATAAGGAAAAGGACGGGGGCTGCTCCATCACCTTTTCCGTGGATGATTCCGGATTGGAAGATCTACGGAAAGCGGAGTTCCGACTTTTCCTGAATTTCTTCCGTGTTACCGTTCGGGTTAAAGGAAGAAAATCCTCTCAAGGTGCTGGCGGCAGGGCAGGACAAAATAAAAAACCAGTGCCCACCGCGACAACGACAACGACGAGCACTTCAGGCCAACCAAAAGAGCCAAAACTCATTGGAAAGCCTGAAGTCGCTCCGAAAATGGCGGCAAGGGAAACGGAAGGACCATCAACCAGCACGCCAAATACAAGCGTCCCGGGGGAACCAAAAGGGCTCAAGCCCATTGGGAAGCCCGGAAATGCTTCGGTATTTGCTGTTGCAGGGGCTAGCGTGGCACCTGGGGCGGCAAAAGAGGCTGTGGCAGGGCAGGCGCCCACCAAGATGTGTAAAAAGGCGAAAATGGGAGGTAAGGCTCATGTAAAGCCTTTGTCTAAAGGGCCAAAGCCCATAGACAAGAGACGGAGGAAATAATATGGCTGTGAGGTGCATCCAAATAAATCTACAGCATGCTAGGGCATCTACTGATGTTCTGGCTCATAGATTTATGAAGGATCACCTCGATATCGCCCTTATCCAAGAGCCTTACATAGTGAAGGATCAGGTTAAGGGCCTAACAGGTGAGCTATTGTATGATAATACAACTGGGGGCAGGCCTAGGGCTTGCATCTTGTTTAGTAAAAAGCTAACGTATTTTCCCATTCCAGATTACTGTTCTAAGGATCAGGTAGCTGCGTTGGTGAAGGTGAAGTCCTGCGGGGGCTGGACAGAGTTCATTGTTTGCTCATCCTACCTCCCGGGGGACTGTGCCCACCCGGACGAGCAACTGAAGGATCTAGTGGACTTTTGTGGAAGGAGGAACTTCCAACTTATAATAGGAAGTGATGCCAATGCCCACCACACCGTCTGGGGAAGCAGCAATATAAACAAAAGAGGTGAGTGCCTACTTGAATTTATATATAGCAATAAATTAATGATTATGAATGAAGGCAATAGGCCGACATTCATAAATGCAATTAGGGAAGAGGTCCTTGACATCACCCTTTGCACTGAATTTATCGGCAGTAGGGTTGGTGGATGGCATGTCTCAAATGAGACATCCATGTCCGATCATAGGCAGATTAGGTTTGATATCATGGTCTCCGGGGGCCTGGCAGAAGAAATATATCGGGTGCCCCAATCCACAGATTGGAGTCAATTCGAAACGCTCCTCATGGATGGGATTAGATCCGTTCCTGCTTCTGTCAGAACGGTGATGGATATCGAACTGGCCAGCGAGGCCCTGACGGCGGCTATTACTAATGCCTATCACGGGAGCTGCCGTGCTAAGCCGAGGCGGAGCAATAGGAAGTGCCCGTGGTGGAATGAGGAGCTTTCAAGGCTTAGACTAAAGACCAGGAAGCTATTCAATAGGGCCAAAGCGTCAGGTTCGTGGGAAGAGTATAAGGACTCACTCACAAAATACAATAAAGAAATTAGGAAAGCGAAGAGAATCTCGTGGAGGGCGTTCTGCAAGGGCATTGATGAACTCCCCAGCAGTGCGCGTCTTCACAGGGTGCTTTCCAAAAAGTATGCTAGTAGGTTGGGCCTAATGGAACGTCCTGATGGCTCCATGACTGAGAACGGAAGGCAGACGTTGGAGCTTATGGCGTCAACGCACTTTCCTGACTCGGAGATTCTTCGGAATCACTCAAATGCAGTCATCCAACCGGGGGCACCCTGGCCCAGGAGGGATGACTGGCAACGATCCCGTCTAGTCTTCACGATGGGCAGGATTAGATGGGCTGTTTTCTCTTTCAGGCCCTTCAAATCTCCAGGTGATGACGGGATATATCCTGCATTTTTGCAGAGGGGTTTCCAACATATCGCTAGAGCACTGTTGGGAATTTTTCGCGCCAGCTATGCGTGGGGTTACATCCCTCAGGCATGGAGGGTGGCTAAAGTGACGTATATTCCGAAGGTGGGTAAGCGACCAAGCAACCACCCAAGGTCTTTCCGTCCAATCAGCCTTACTTCTTTTCTATTGAAAGCAATGGAAAAAGTGATTGATAGATTTATACGGGACGGTGCACTGGGAAGCAATCCCTTGCATGAATCTCAATACGCCTATCAGTCGGGAAGGTCTACTGTACTCGCTCTGCAGAGTCTGGTGGGGGTCCTTGAAAACTCACTGGAAGTGCGGGAGGTAGCAGTTGGCTGCTTCCTTGATATAGAGGGAGCTTTTGACAACACCCCATATCATGTCATCTGTGAGTCGTTGCACAAACGAGGGATTGATGCGACGACTAGCAGATGGGTCAATCGGATGCTACAGGATAGGATTATTAAGTCCACCATAGCTGACGATATACTCTTCATCTCCGCTGCAAAAGGATGTCCGCAGGGCGGGGTTCTTTCGCCCCTCCTGTGGTCCATTGTAGTGGATGATCTAATAGCTGCTCTCAGGGGCTCCGGGGCGCGTGTCTGGGGATACGCTGACGATGTGGCCTTCGTCGTGCGGGGAAAATTTGAGAGCACTATTTCTGATCTTCTACAGCAAAATTTACGTGTTGTGGAAAGGTGGTGCAAAGGCGTTGAGTTAAATATAAATCCAAGCAAGAGCACTTTGGTCGCCTTCACCAGACGCAGAAGCAGGGACAGATTAACGAGCCCAATTCTGTTTGGTGAACGTATTAGTTACTCGAGGGAGGTGAAGTATCTGGGGGTAACCCTGGATGATCGTCTCTCTTGGAATACCCATATCGATAGAGTTATCGGGAGAGCTACGGCGGCCTTGTGGACGTGTAGGAGCTTCATCGG